CTACCTCTTTGGCATGTGTTCTTTGCATCCCTAATTAAATTCTAGGACAAAATAAATTTAATTTAATTTGTTTTAATTTAGTTTGCACGGTTATTTGGTTTTTAAAACAGTATGTGTTTTCTGTATCTGTAACTTGTTCGTTTTTAAACGGTTTTGCATAACTCTTATTCTAATGATAATTGATTAATGTCTAATGAGTTTAAATAGTTCTGGAAGATGTTTCTGTGCATCATTAATACAATCCCAGGTGGAAGTAAACCGTTAAATTAATTTTTGGTTGCATAGAAATTGTTCAACATCGTGTGTGTTACCGATTGGGTTTTTGGCTTGTTTTAAATCTGTTCGGAAAAATTCTTATTCTGATTAGTTTTGATTAATGAACAATGAATTTAATTAACTTTGGGACACTCTAGGATTGAGTTTTAATCAATAATAAACTTGGGTTGAGGAATACAGTTGCCGGACATCGCCGGAATTGGAAACGAAGACACACAGGGGAAGAGCCTGCTCTAATTAGAGTAGAGTAGGCCCAACAAAAGGGTAGAGCAGGTTCTACCTTAGGTAGAGCCGGCTCTATGGGAGTCTAGAGGTGGCTCCATCATGGGGGAGCCGGCTCTACCTTGTTGTGGAGGCGGCTCCACCTTTTGCGGAGCCGGCTCCTTTAATTTTTGCTTCCAGTTTTAAGTTTTTGGGAGACCTGGGCTACGGGGATTGAATTCTTAACATTCTAGCCTGAAAATAGAGTGTTTCTAAAGGTATTTAGAAGGGTCTAAACCTGTGTTAAATTTTCAGAAGGCCTAGAAATTCATAATCTTCCATAAAAAGCTAAAAGAAGGAATAACCAGAAACTCTTAGGAAAGAGATCAATATTACTGTGATGCGGATAATTCAAGTTACTTGTTTTAAAATTAGCATTTGAACTAGGAATTTTATGTTTAAATCATATGACAGTGGTATAGGATTAAGCATCACAATTTATATAATGTCGGTTATGCTTAACAGGAAATTAGTTGATATTTACAAGTCATTATGTATAATCAACTAACCGGATGATATGGAGTAGTTTAAACGAGCATGTTAATTTTGATATTGATATTAGTATGCTGATAGGGGATTAAAGAATGGATTACACTTATTATCTGCGTTCTTAAACTGTTAGAGAATCATGTGTTGTTCATATATGACAAGCTTGCAATTTATATATTCTTGTTGTACTTGTTATAGATGTGTGGATATTGATATTTATAATATCATCTGTATTATTAACAGTTGGATGGATGGTGTTATACTTGTTATGGATTGGTTGATATTGATTTTATCTCATTATTTGTATTATCAACATTGGATGGATGGTTTGTATGCACCGGTATGGGACGGTGACATACTAAGGGGATTAGCTCAAAAACGCTAAGTCCTACCTATTCTGGATTAAGGGATGGATTAACTACAAAAGTTAAGTCCTACCTGTATTTTGTGTCAGATCACTAAATAGTTGAGTGACACTTTTGGTTTGGAACGGATTTTAAATATATTTTTATGGTGCCACGATATGAGCCTGAGTCTCAGAGTCGTTGGCTAAGGAGCATATATGCATTGGGATGCATAGTTGGCTATGATGGTTGGATGTGTACCCTGCTAGGTCTAGGTAGTCATGCCCACCTCAGGTGCATTTTGCATGGTGCCTACTAGTCAGGTTGAGACGGGCCTGTAGTTCAATGAGAGTCCTGTAGTGTGATTATATATATATGTATCTACGGACTATTTAATTATTGTTGGATTGGTTAGGATGTACATGCGTATTGGGTCTCTGCTTGGATAGTAGTAGTATAGAACTTGCTAGTGGGCCTGACCCACTTATTATTTTTCAGGTATTGGATGTTTGAGGTCTTAGAGCTTGTTCGAGCTGAGCAGAGACGATCTTTCATTCTACCGACGATGTATGACTTCTTTCCAGATATTCGATATGGGCTTTTATCTTCAGTTATTTATTTTCGTTCGGTTTGGATTTTTATTAGGGGTCCACTGGAGATGGATTCCCAAGTTGTAAACTTATAAAGTTTGGATTGTCAGAGTTTAAATATTTATATTTGAGGATTTTTAATTTAGTATTCCTTCAGCTTATTATTATTTCTTAAATTCATTTTGTATTCTGTGTAAGATTAAATATTAATTGTTTGATATCCCTCGGATCTGTGCTCGGACTTGATCACCCGTGACTCTAGAATCGAGGGGTATCACACTTATTTTCCTATTGAAGCCTGGGAAGGAGCTTCGACAAGGTGATTCCAGTAACAGCCATTTGGAAGCAGGAAGGCCAACTTGGCAAGGTGATATATCTAGCCAATTTCATTCCCAAAATCAGCATCCTAGTTTTAAGAGGCAGTCACTAGTTCAGTCAGAGATTTGGGTACAGAAAGGAGCTAATTCATATAGAGTACGAACTGTGAAACCAATGACAGACTCGACTAAAGAGAAATGGACTCGAGTTAATCATCCAAAGTTCCCTAAAGCTCAACAATCTCAGAATGGGGGTCTAACTTGATCTCAGAAGCGTAGAGAACAAAGGAGAAGGGCTGAGCAAAAAAGAAAAGCTGAAGGAGGAAGCAAAGCAGTGCAAGCCAAGATTATTGGCATTCCAGATAAAGATAACCCGGATGAAGAGCATCAGCCGACGTGGCCTAGACGTAACAATGAATTCAGAATTCAGTTTGGCAGTTTCCCAGACGAGATGTCATGTAACATGTCATTTGTATTACCAGCAATGTTCTAGGCTCCATCGGCATCAAATGCAGATACTGAGAAGAATGAGAAGGAAACTCAGCCGATTCGGAATTTATCAATTCTTTCCTCAGAATCGGCAGAGAAGGTGGTTTTTGAAAAACCTCTGTTAGCAATGACTCAACAGCTCAGGCCTTTGTATGTTAAGGTGTGGGTAGAAGGTCAACCTATTAATCAAGTTTTGGTAGACAATGGCTCGGTTTTGAATGTTATTCCAGCAAACACATAGAAGAAACTCTGCAAGAGTATGGAAGATGTTATTCCTACTGATGTAGAAATTTGTGGTTTCAACGGAGGTTCTACCAGCACTAAAGGGATCCTTCCTTTAGAAGTAGAGGTTGGAGGTAGGACGTCTTATACGGCATTTTTTATTATTGAATCCACGGCTTCTTATAATTTGTTATTAGGCCGTGAATGGATTCATCCGAATATGTGCATCCCATCATCATTACATCAGATGCTGATTTTTTGGGATGGAGATAAAGTAAAATAGTAAATGCCGATGATAAGCCATTTGTGGCAAAAGTGTATTCGGCAGATGTTGTTTTATATGACGAAGAATGTGTTCCTATTCAGTTTGTGGGAATAGAAGCCGATGGAAGACCAACCTCGGCAACCATAAGAAGAAGCCTTGCCGATCGTGAAATAGGCGAGTTGCAGCAGGAGAATTCTAGGCCGAAGGTAGAATGCCCTCGGCTTGCTATAATTGAAGAAGTTATCGATGGAGATGAAACTTGAAAGGGAAGCTGCTCGGTAGCAGGCCTTTAGGGCCGCTTGCATTAGGCTTTAAGCGTACATCGCCGAAAAACGGCTAGAGAAAGAAGCAATAATAGAGCCAAGACCATCGGTCAATCTTACTGAAATCAATCGATTCGGTAATGAAAAGTTGGATGCAATTCAGTTGGAAGACTTGGAGTTAGCGCCAGCAAAGCTCGACGATCTTAAAGCAGACACTCAGGATCCTTTAAAGGAAGTGAATTTAGGCACTGACACAGATCTTAGACCTACTTATATTAGTACACTGTTAGAACCAGAATTACAAGCCGAGGTTATCAGTATGTTGAAACAATAAAGTGACTGTTTTGCTTGGAGCTATGAAGAAATGCCGGGTTTATCTAGAGATTTGGTGGAACATCGGTTGCCCATTAAAGATGGCTATAAGCCATATAAATAGTCACCTCGTCGAATGTCTCAAGAAGTAGTAGACAAAGTTAAGATGGAAATCGAAAGATTATTAGATGCTGGCTTCATTCGAACTACAAGGTATGTTGAATGGTTATCAAATGTTGTCCCTGTTATCAAGAAGAATGGAAAATTACGTATATGCGTTGATTTTCGAAACATAAATTTGGCAACGCCAAAAGATGAATATCCAATGCCGATAGCCAATCAGCTGATTGATGCGGCTGCAAAACACCAAATTATGTCTTTTATGGATGGATACTCAGATTTATATAGCCGAGGAAGACATTCCAAAAACAGCTTTTAGGTGTCCCAGATCGATTGGAACTTTTGAATGGGTGGTAATGCCTTTTGGGTTAAAGAATGCTGGGGTCACATATCAACGAGCCATGAATTCTATTTTTCATGATATGCTCGGCAAGTTTATAGAGGTGTACATTGATGATGTGGTGGTAAAATCAACAACAAGGAAAGAGCATTTAGTCCACCTCAAAGCATCTTTTGAGAGGATGAGGGCTCATAAGCTAAAAATAAATCCAATAAAGTGTGCCTTTGGAGTATCGGCAGGAAACTTTTTGGGTTTCTTGGTTCATCAAAGGGGTATAGAGATCGATAGGAATAAAGCTAAGGCGATTATTGATGCTAGTGCACCAAGAAGCAAGAAACAGTTGCAGAGGTTACTTGGACAAGTGAATTATCTTAGGAGATTTATTGCTAATACAGCTGGGAAGTTACATGTGTTTTCCCCGTTACTTAAGTTGAAGCCGATGGAAGAATTCAAATGGGATGATATTCATCAAAGGGCATTTGACCAGATCAAGCAATACTTGTCAAGTCCTCCTGTCATGATGCCACCAAGGAAGAAATGGCCAATGAAATTATACTTATCGGCTGCTGAAGAATCCATTGGAGCTATGTTAGCACAAGAGAATGAAACAGGAAGCGAGCAAGCGATATATTACCTCAGTTGAGTTTTAACTCCAGTCGGGTGTAGATATACACCGATTGAGAAATTGTGTTTGGCCTTGTATTTTGCAGCAATGAAATTGAGAGTATATATGTTGCCTGTTTTGGTTTATATTGTTTGCCAAACTGATCTTATAAAGTATATGCTATCAAGGTCGTTAATCACAGGCCTGATTGGCAAGTGGGCTTTGGCACTAATGGAATTCAATTTTGCATATGTTCCACAAAAGGCAATTAAGGGAAGAGTATTGGCAGATTTTCTTACTGATCATCCCTCGCCCGAAATTGAGTTACAAGTATTTGATGAGCTTGACTCGGCATCCATATTCATGACTCCATGGACTTTAATGTTCGATGGGTCAAGTACCAGTGAAGGCTCGGGTGCTGGTATAATGGTAATATCCCCAACAGAGAATCAAATCTCGTTTTCTTTCTTTTTGGATTTCAGGTGTTCAAATAATCAAGCTGAGTATGAAGTATTATTCTGTTGGAAATGGCAGTCAAAGATGTCCACATTGTGGGAGATTCGAGTTTAGTGATTAATCAAATCTCAGAAGACTTTAGATGTTTGAATTGGCAATTAAGACCATTTCATTCGTTGGCAACCCAATTGGTTAACCAATTTCACAATGTGACTTTGGAATATAGACCAAGGGCCATGAATAAACTAGCTAATGATTTAGCACAGACAGCTTCAGGAGTAAGGGTGCCGAGTGTTATGAAGGAAAGAGTAATGAGGATTACACGTCGATCTCTTCCATCAGCTAAAATAAGAAATCAAATTATGGAAGAAGTCTTTGCAACTGATGTTGCCGAATTGGATGATGATGATTGGCGAATTCCTTACATCTTGTTTTTGCAACATCCAACTCCTGAAGCTGATCGAAGAATTAAAAGAAGTGCAGTCGATTATGTGCTTATGATTGGAGATCTTTATAGAAGATCGATTAATGATGGTTTATTATTTCAGTGCATTAGCGAGTTTAAAGGTCTGAAGATTATGGCTAAGGTACATAAAGGGATATGTGGAGCTCACCAAGCCGGCATCAAAATGAGGTGGTTGATACGCCGATATGGATATTATTGGCCAGGAATAAGAAAAAATTGCATGACTTATGCAAAAGGTTGTATAAACTGTCAAAAACATGGTCCAATGCAATGGGTCCCAGCAATAAAAATGCAATTACTAGTTAAACCATGGCCTTTCAGAGGATGGGCTATGGATCTAATCGGCAAGATTAATCCTCCTTCATCAAAGGGTCATCATTGGATTATTCTAGCTACCGATTACTTTACTAAATGGGTAGAAGCCGAGGAATATGTATCGGTAACTCATAATACCGTTATACAATTTTTGGAGCGACATATCTTTCACTGATTTGGATTACCGGAAACAATTGTTGCCGATAATGGATCTGTTTTTCGAGCAAATGAAGTATTACAACTTGGCCCTGACATGCAGGTGAAAATGGTAACTTCAACACCCTATTATGCTCAAGGGAATGGTCAAGCCGAGGCTTCAAATAAAGTTGTTATTGAAATTATTGAGAAAATGATAAAAGACAAACCAAGGCGTTGGCATGAAACTCTTTCAGAAGCCTTATGGGCCTATAGAAATGCAAAAAGGACAAATACGGGAACAACTCCATATCGATTAACATTTGGTCATGATGCGGTGTTGCCGATGGAATTAAACGTTAAATCGGCAAGGGTAGCTTTGCAATATAATCTCATACCTGCTGATTATAACGAAGCTATGCTTATTAAGTTAGAAGATTTAGATGAAGTCCAGAAACTTGCTTTGGACCACCTTGTGGTTCATAAAGCAAAAGTAATGAGGGCTTACAATAAAAGGGTGAAGTTCAAGTCATTTGCAGAAGGCGATATGGTGGGGCAAAGAATCCTTCCACCTGGGAAGGTGGATAGAGTTTATGGTAAGTGGTCACCTACTTGGAAGGGTCCATATTTGGTTCATCAAGTGTTACATGGAGGCGCTTACAGGTTAAAAGATCTAGATGGTGAAATCCATGAGAGACCAATAAATGGAAGGTACTTGAAAAAATATAATCCAACTATTTTTGAACTTATGGAGGAAAAGAAGACCTCCACTAAGTAAAAAATAGATTGGATTGTATTGTTTTGTTTTATGTTGTTTCATTTTATGTAAGTTATTTTGAAGCAAATAAATCAAAATAAAGATATAGTAAAATGAAATTCCGGAGGTCATTATACTAAATATTGTCAAAAACATTAAATCAAGCCCACAAAAAGTAAGATTGTTCAAAACCATATTACAGTCCTTTGTAAACAGATAGTTCTTGGTGTAAGAAAATAATCAAGGTTGGGTAAAGTTTGTGTAAAAAACTTCAAATTTGGTCTTGAAACCGGCCCAGGAGGTAATGGTTTGTTGGAGCTTGGTCTCTGTTTGCTTCTTAGACCGCTCCAATTGAGGTAATTGGGTCTGCAACGCCTTGAATTTGGGAACAGCAGTTTCAGCTTGGATTTTTAATTCCATCACTTTTTCATTAAGCTGGGTTTTGTCTAGCTGTAATTGAGCAAGCTCGGCTAGAAGTTTCTTCTCTCTGATCTCTAACTCAGCAGCTTTTTTCTTCAAAGATGAGTGGAGTTCTTTGCCCATTTTCAAAGTTTTGGCCAGCTTTTCCTTTTCTTAGGCTTGAGCAGCACAATGGTGGAGGATTTGAGTAGACTCGCCATAAGCAGTCATCATAGAAGGTACTTGAAGTTGGAAGTTCTTGAAGAAAGCTTGGTCACCTGAAGAGAATCTTGGGTAACTACTCAAGAAGGACAAGGTTTCAGTTAACTCATTTTTGAATGAGAAGGCTAGAGACAAGTCTTGTTGCACCATTTGGGACAGGATTTGGATGGCTTTTGTAACTTCTGGGGGTGTGTCAAAGGTTTGCTCAGGTGAAATTTCAGGAAGTTCAAGATTAGGTGGGTCAAAGACAGAATCAAATAACAAGTCAAGGGTTGCAAAGGGAGAGCTTGGGTTGGTACTGACAGGATTGGTTGGAATAGCCGAGCCTTGTTGTACCTGAGATATGCCATAGCTATAATAAGTTTACAAGAACAGGTTATAAAAGAAATGTATAAACACATGTATCATTACTTACTTCATCAGAATCTCCGACTTGTTCATGAATTGATGCTGCAGCCAAGGGTGGAGAAGGCACAGGGGACCTTTGTTTTTCGCTAACTAATAACTCGATTTTCTCTTCTTCTACAGCGTGGTCTGTAGAAATTTCTTGAATTGATTTTTGTTCTGAAGGGAGTAGAGTTTCCTGAAATCAATGCTGACTTAGTTATATTATAAAGAGAAAAAGTAATATATGAGGTCAGGCAAAAAAGAGATTACACTGGGAGAGGCAGCAGCAGGTTTCCTTTTCTTGGATATAACCTCTTCGTCATCCTCCTCATCATCATCATCAATCAGTTCAAAATGTCTTTTGGCTCGTGACTTTTTGGGTTTTTTCCCCACCATTTTCTTTTTTGTTGTTTTCTGGACAAAAGTGTTAGCAAGAAAAAGGGGTATGCATAAAAAGAATAAATATATAATTTAGTTATGGGTGTTACCTTAGTAACCGAGGATGGAGGTATGCTTTAAAGAGGGACATAAAAATCAACTTGAGTTTCTTCAGATTTGGTGGATTTCTCTGGGGCATTGGAATGAGTACATGAATTTATGATTAATAAGCATATAAACCAGATAGAAGTTCTATGGAAAAGATAAGGATATATAAAACTTACTTTGCTGAGAGCGAGATCTGGTCCTACCTACAGGAGCTGTGGGGGGAGGACGAGTTGGTGCTGTATTTGTTATTTTCTTTGGTTCAGGAGCAATAAAGAGGGCTATGGGTTCAATGGAATCTAAACCCTGAAAGTTAAGGGAAATGAACTTATAGGAGCCAAGGAGAGTGCACACGAGCTGACTGGAATCCACGGTCCTGGTAAAAGTGATGTAGTATGTCCACCAATCCTCAAACTTTGGGTCAGTACTGGGTTTTTCAAGGAAGGGTTTATACTGAAACCCTTGAAGAAGTTGAGTGAATCGATTAGACACATCTTAAACTTATTCACTGTTGGAAAGCTTCACTCGCCGATGATAGTTCTTGTTGTAAGAAAAATGGGGAGGTAATGGGAACATCTGCGTCAATCTAAATTGCCGAGCTAACTGCGCTGGGTTATAAAACTCAACCCCAGTTTGGCTCTTAGGCAAATTGGGAGCAACAGTATTACAAGGTATGTCTCTTACGACCAAGAAGTGGCCCCATGAAGAGATATAATGGTCAATCTATTCAGGAGAAGACTCGGCAGTAGGGGGAAACAACCAAGATGGAGCTAGTTGACATTTGGAAAAAGGAAGGAATTGAGATTGAGTCTTGATCTTGCACTGATGATATAAGAATTGAAAACAGTCATTAAAGGAATGGTCTTTGGGTTTGACTCTAGTATATCCAAATGATAGTAAAGGATCATTTGGAGCAGGCTGAATAGGAAAGGATAACTCAGGGAAATATGCATGTAGCCAGAACTGATATAGCCAGAATGGACCTCCAAATCTTGCAAAATTAGAAGTAATAAGGTCGGATAAGCCTCTATACAAGGACGCTAACAAGAATGGAGCTAAAGCTATTCTACATCAGTTCCTTCTTCTCCTAACATTTCTTTCAAGAATGGTCTATGTGATTGCACAAAGGGTTTAGCCCCTTTCTGTTCTGGGAAGTAAAAGGAGGTTTCTTCGTCTTGGAGGAAATAGTTGATTTCATCTCCTCCAGGTTTTAAACCTGTTAGAAAGTAGACGTCCCTCAGGGTAGGGGCCATCATGCCACAGTGCAAGTGTAGTGAATTGGTTGTGGGGGACCAAAAGTGCAAAGAGGCAAAAAATAATGCTCGGTCACAAGAGAAGGGAATCTTACTAAGCTGAATGAGGTTAAAGATACCTATCTTTTTCCACTGCTCTCCTTTTGCTGCTGATACACGATCCACCCAATCGTTCCATTGGAGCATCGATGGATGCCAATTTCTGACAGAGAGAGTTGGTCAGTCTCCTTCCGCTGTTAGATAAAGAATTTTGGAATAAGGAAAGTGAGGTTCGGCTTGTGGATAAATTGAAGCTAAGGAAGGGGGAAATCTAGTAACAAATGCTGGGCCAAGTCCCTAAACATTTTCAGAGAGATCGATTAACGTATTGGAATTCAGTTCGCTTTGATCTAGGGTTTTGATCGCTGATTTTGTTAGTTGGGTATGCGATGTTGCTTCTGGAAAAGGGTTTTCCAAGTTTAGATCAGTTTGTTTCATTGTTTTTGAAGTCATGTTGCAGAAAAGGTTCCGTTAGGGAAAAGATTGGAGAAGAAGGGTTTGTGGTAGAGAGAAGAGTCTGCAAAAGGTTATGGGTTATGCAACAGCCGTGTTTGGTTGAAGATATGTGATTACGGCGATAATTAATGAGTGATAAGATGGTTATCATAATCGATATGTGTCGGGAAACGAATCGAGATAAAACTGATAGGGTTATTAGATATATACAGAGTTATGATGCAATGGGTGTGTTTGAATTTTGGAAGCCAAAGGGTTAAAACGGCTACCAAAATTAGGGGGCATTGTTGACACCCATTTTGGTATTTGGATTGCTAACCCATCTTCGGCCCAGTCATGAAAACCAAATACCCTTGGCATCTATTTTGGTAATTGGGTTCTGGCCATAATTGGATTTGATGAGCAATGAAGCATTGGGCCGAGAGAATATAATGGGCTAAAACATGTGACAATGAGGTTGGGCTAGGAGGTATGTGGATTCACAAATGATTTGGTTTCCGGCTGGGATAATGCAATGCAGTTAAGATGTTGGGCTATACACATCACATGGATATGGATTACAAGAGAGAGGGCAATGACGTGATACACACAAGGGCATCACCGATGATATGGATTATATTTGAAATACTTTTGAATTTTATGTTAGTTAAGAATTAATATTTATGTAGGAACTTTAGTTTGAATTTAAATTCAGTATTAAGTGATAGAGTTAGAGTTTTATTGTAATTAGAATACTTATTGGTAGGAATTTGATTCTAATAATTTCTATAAATAAACAAAGAGGCATGCTGAACAAGGGGTCCAGTACCCTCAGAAACATTATAATTATTTGTTTGCTTTCTGGAGCACTTTCCCCAAATAGCATCCTTGTTATCTCTATCTCTCTCCCTCTCTATTTCAGTCTCGTTCTATTTCTTCCTTATATCTCTCTCCCCTATCTCTTCTCCCTATCACTTTCTATATCTATATTTTTTCCCCTTTCTATTCTCATATTATTACTATAATTTGTTTACAGAAAGTCCTTTTAACTAAGGAAATATTGAACTCATCTAGGAGTTTATTTGTTCTCTATCTCCTATAATCGCCTGAAGTCAACATTACCTAAGAGATTAAAAGTTGACAATTCACAATTGAACCATATATTTGGTTCTAGCACGCCCGTTTTCCATCAATTTAAGATCGGCTCTAGCCAGCCAATTTGAGGGTCAACAGGTCGTAATCATGTCGTGTTGATTTAAAAATATTTTATTAAATAGCTCAACTTGAACACAACTCACTTTATAATCGTGTCAAGAACGTTCAACACTAACCCGACCTGTTTAGTAAATGAGTTATACATGTAACCCGTTTAATGACCTCTTTAATAAAATGAAATATTTATTTTGAAACTTAAATAGAAATTTGTTTATGACTCATATAGTTAAATTGATATAAATGAGTTACACGAGTTGAATCTCTTAACCCAAAAACGACACAATTAACTAAACATATTAATTGTGTCGAACTATTTACGATTCAAACTAATTTAAGATTAATCCAAATCCGTTTAACTCGAGTCTTGTTGACGGTAGTGTCAAATTTTGCAAATAATGGCTGTTCTATAACCTGCTATCTGTGACTTTTTGTTAAACTACTTTCTTATACATCTACCGTCATTTATTACACCCAAAAAAAAAGGTTTTGTGAAAAAAGTTTTCTAATGTACTCTTTGACTCCCAATACTTCTATTAATTGCGAAAGGCAGCGGTCACAAACTCTCAAAGGGATTATAACACATCATCACTCATGCATATCACACTCACACATTCTACTTTACTCATTTAGATACTCAAATTTTTACTATCTATTTTGAAAAAAAAAAAAATATCACTAAATCACAAAATTCTTGATGAAAAAAGAAAATTTGAATATACAAAATTAAATACTTTATGAATTAAGTCAGTAAATAATTCTTTAAGAATTATGAATTAAGTTACATAAAACGGGAGCGGAAGCGAATTCGAGAGTAGGAACGTGAGAGCGACATAATTAAAATTTGAGTTAAAGTGCGCATAAAGCATAAGAACGAGAACACGTTCAGAACGTGATAGCGACACACGATAAAAAAAAATTATACATCTTATAAATGCAAATTTTTCCTCATGGCCCCCACATGCATTAATTGCTATCATTTTGGCAGCTCGACCGGCTCACGATCTCACATAAAACACTTTATAGAGTATTTCCAAAAGGGGGTCCTATGTAAGATGCCTCTCTGTGTTTTTTTTTTTTTGTTTTTTTGGTCGTATATGTTCACCTATAATGATTTGTTTTTTTTATTTTTTATTTTCATTTATATAACTTAGGTTATAAATGCAAATATTTTCCTCATGGCCCCGCATGCATTAATTGCTTATCATTTTGACATATCAACCGACTCACGGTCTCACATAAAACACTTTATACAGTATTTCCAAAAAGGCATCTTATACAGGGAGTCCTATATAAGATGCCATTTTTTTTTTTTTTTTTTTTTTTTTTTTTTCGGTATATGTTCACCTATAATGATTTTTTATTTTATTTTATTTATTTTTTAAATGTTCACCTATGACGAGTGGACTATAATTTCTTATAGAAAATTAGGAAAAAGAAATAATTGACCACTCAAACGTACTCCATCTATCCCACCAAAAAGACGTCTCTTTGGAAATGGACAAATTAAAAGATAATAAAATGAGATCTGTTCACAATATGAAAAGTGTTGCACAGTAGCACAACACAACAATCCAAGAGAATTTGGTGCGGAGTACGAGTCATTATGTCGGGGCAAACTTGTAGTCTTTGCCCAATGAAAAATTCATTAATGTATGTTCCACAATAATAACATTAAAAAAAGTTCACCATTACAAGAAGAAAATGGAGAGTGGGAAACACTTTGTTCTAGTTCATGGCTCTTGCCATGGGGCATGGTGCTGGTACAAGCTGGTCACCCTGCTCAAATCCGCCGGTAACCGGGTTACAGCTTTGGACCTCGGCGCGAGCGGGGTGGATCCGAGGCGGCTCGACCAAATCGCCACCATATCTGACTACGTGCAACCATTGATGGACTTCATGGCATCCCTGCCTGGTGGTGAGAGGGTGGTCCTAGTTGGGCACAGTTATGGCGGCTTTTGCATTTCTCTAGCCATGGAGAGCTTCACCGAGAAGATCTTCGTTGCAGTTTTCATCACAGCCTTTATGCCGAACCCTAGAGATCCACCAGCCATCTGTTTTCAAGAAGTAAGAAAATCTTGATCAAGTCCAGTTCAAATTTCCAATTTTGAATGTCTCATGGAATAATTAAATTAACCCATAATATATAGAATTCGTAGATTAGATCTAGAATTAAAGAAACAATTCTAAATTCAAGCCGCTAATTCAGTATTCTAAACCTAAACATGCAATTGAATTCTAAAAAAATACCGATTTGGTTCCTCATGGATTTTGTTTTATATATATATGAAAACAGTTCTTCAGAAGGGTCTCGCCAAACACTTTTATGGATAGTAAATTTACATATGATCATGGAACGGAAAACCCACCGACTTCACTTATCGTAGGTCCAGATTGCTTGACAACTATGGTTTACAATAAGTGCCAACCAGAGGTTAGTGTCTCAATCAATTTCACACAACTAAATACCAAACAACAGATCGATCATCTTTTTGTTGATGTGCATTTTTATATCGTTGTCTATGTACAGAATATTGAGTTAGGCAAAATGTTGACAAGACCAAGTGGGTTTTTCATTGAAGACTTGATCCAGGAATCTCTGCTAACTGAGAAGAAATACGGGTCGGTAAGCCGGGTTTTTTTGGTGTGCGAAGAAGATCACTGGGTGGAGGAAGAATTCCAGAGATGGATGATTGAGAATAGTCCAGCTAAAGAAGTGATGTCCATAGCTGGAGCTGACCATATGGCAATGCTTTCAAAACCCAAAGAGCTTTGTCTCTGTTTACTTGAGATTGCTCTGAAATATCAATAAACAAGAAGGATAAGAATTTAATAAACCTGTTGTATGTCAAAGATGAGATTTGGCATTACTCTGAATGCAAGAGTTTTAAGTTGTATTAGTAAAACATTTACATGAAAAATAATAGTAATAATTTTTAATTTTTAATTTTTAATTTACCTATCTGTTTTTGTTTGATTTTGAGATCACTTTCTTTACGGTTGTTATTCTTCACGAATTTGTCGTTTTAGTGATGTGAAATGTAATTTGGGTGACACTATATCATGCCTCTAACACTTGAGTTATTGCAAATGAAAATTTCATGTTATCGGAATGCATATATATATATATATATATATATATATATTAGAGTAAAATGCAAAAATTTCTTCTGAATTGTTGGCTAATCTGCAATAAACTCATGAATTACAAAAGTTACAAAAAAATCTCTTGAACTATACACTTTTATTGTAAATAATCCTATCTGGTGATCGGCCGGTTGATCACCGGTTGAATCTCACCCTTAAAATATTATGTACGGTCACATGACCCATAATATGTAATTTAAAGACCATAATACCCTTATAGGTAATGTATATGTAGTGTTTGGTTGGAAACAATTATTTAATTTATAGACCATAATACACTTATAGATAATGTATATGTATTGTTTGGCTCGAAGCAATTTCCACCCTTTTACCCAAGAATATAAAATAAGATGATATGATATAATTAGGCTTAGTTTGTAATTCTGAAAACTATTTTCAATAATTCAGAGAATATAAAACTGTTTTTAGATAATTATAAAAGAGAGTTATCTGAAAACATGTATTTTTATAACTGAGTTTTCAGAAAACTCAATCAAAGGGAGTTTTTTTCTACAAAAAAATAAAAACTGTTCTCATAATTACAAATTAACCAGGTCCATAGTGATTAAAATGCAATATTGCTATAATATCAGTTGCATTGTCTTCAAAAACTAAACCATGCCCTAAGGCCATCTGCACCAACCTTTCTGAATTTTTTCTTTCTAAAAATGTCACTTCAGCTTTTCTAAGAGCCACGTCAGCAGTTTTCGTTCTCTAGAAGTATGCACTCCATCAATCTCTCCGAATTTTCGATCTAAAAAAAAAAAATTAAAAAATTAATATATATATATATATATATATATATATATATATATATATATATTAACTTTTCCTAAATGGCTATATTTCTAACGACTATATTTTTAACAGTTATATTTTTCATCTTATATAATGAATACTCATTTGCTCATCTGAAAATCATCATTACATTCATCTCTCTCAATTGTAGCAAAATATCATTATCCATCTTTTTTAATTTTGAAATTCCAATGGCGTCGTCATCAAAAGCTTTTCCTTTGGCAGACTCTAATTCTTCATCTTTCTCGTCATCCTCTTCGGAAGATGACTCTATTGCCGCGTTGATTTAACAGGATGAAGACAAATTCTATGAGATTATGAATTCAGTAAGGCCAGAGATAGATGAACAAGTTTTTGAAGTCCGTAATAAGAAGCGATACGTTCATCGTGATCGATTCAGGATGCGACGAGAACTTTTTCTTCGTATCCTTAATGATGTCAAAGCTTATGATGACTACTTTTGTCTAAAAAAGGATGCGACTGGTCGTCTGGGTTGTCTTCTATATAGAAAATGGCAACTACTATTCATATACTCGCATATAGTTATGCAGCCGATTACTATAATGAGTATATTAAAATTGGTGAGAGTACTGCTATTAAATACTTTAAGGAATTTTGTAATGCTATTGCTGCTATGTATGTAGAGGAGTATATACGTCCACCCAACAAAGCCGACATAGCACAGCTGCTTGTAGAAGGGGAGCAGAAAGAATTTTCGGGTATGCTTGGTTCTATCGACTATATGCACTGGGAATGGAAGAATTGCCCAGTGGAATGGCACAACACACATAGGGGATGCTGTGACACCCCCTAATTTTGAAACACGGATTGATCAAGTTCGCGCACAAAATCAAGGGATATCAAAACAATTTAAGTATTTAACAAGCACAGAATACAAAGATGAATAATAAAGAATAAATAAACCGCTGAAGAAAACTAATAAATAAATATTACTTAATGATTCTCCAACAATTACAATTCGGAAATCCCATAACTCAAGGACCCCTTAAACATTATCCAATAATCCAATACTATTTAAAAGTACACAAGATGAATAGACGAATGACAGTCTCCCAGCTGCGGATCCTCAACCTCGAGACTGGAACCTCTAATAACCTGAAAAATAAATCGTGGGTTAAACCCTACGAGCAAGTTCACTCTACCAGGCCTCTGAAAACCAATAAGCAGATCATCTCTGATCAAAACCAAACCTAATAAAGTTTTAACTTTAATAAAGCACGATATACATGTCTATATATAATTATATATACTATACTAATCACATCCATTAATAGGTTTATTAAATTTTCATACCTATTAAATAATTATTAAAATAATATTCATACCTAGACCAATCTACCATTTCATTTTATAAAAACTCCTTTGACCTTAATCCCATCCTAGTCAGTTGTTTAATCATTTAAACAACAAATTATAATAAAAGAAATACTCTATTTAATCCCAACCCGATAATGATTTTAATTGTTTAAATCACATATCCAAAATCCAAGTTTTGACAAATCATCCACGTCTTCCCCAATATTATTTTATTAATGTAAAATAATACACTAACCAGTAAGTACTAAACTATTCTCATTTAAGAATATCTAACCCTAATCCAATCCATCCATACAACAACTATAGATGATATTTTAATCATCTAACACATAACAACGTAATTATGCTTTGGCAAATCAACCATGCCATTGTAAATATTTTTATTTATATATTGGCAATTCAACCATGCCTCCATAAGTATATTTATTTATACATTGGCAATTCAACCATGCCTCCGTGTATGTATATTTATACATTGGCAATTCAACCATGCTTTCCATATATGTATTCTATTCATACAAATATTTAGGTAATATATTTAATCATTTGACAATTCATCCATGCCCACACTTTAACTATGAATTAACTTTAAAATTAACAATACGCTAAATCATACATAGCCATCACATGCATATTATACGCATATCATTAATTTAACAACCAACCTATTAAGATATGCCAAATAAGAATGATAATATTAATCATCTTAAATGATTTATATATATATATACCTACACATATGTTATTTAATGTATATATGTGTTTAACACCTTCTTTATTAATCCTTGATTATTTAAAATCAATATACATACATACATATATATATATATATATATATATATATATATTCATCCTTCCATACAACTCATAGACAAATTAAACTATATATACCCATATATAAATAATTATATATATATATATATATATATACACTTCCTTCCATAACAAATTATTAATTTATTATATTTACGCAAATTAGTGCAACTAAATATGTCAGAAATAGTTTCCTTTAAATACTCCATACCGGTTTAAATAGTTTTCCGACACCGTCTCACTAAAACGTAAATATCTCTTATTAGGATAAGAATCTGATAATGAAATTGGTACCATTGGAAAGAAGACGAAAAATCCTTGAATTTGAGCTCAAGAATGACCCAATTTCGATTTAAGATGACTTAGTTATGACCGTTTTAATTTTATGTCACAAACAGGCAAAATAATTGGCTGAGCTCAAACACTACTGTGAGCGCGCCCATACTTAATTAGCTCACTTGAGCTCACACAAACGCACCCATACCAGATTAGCTCACTTGAGCTCACATGTATGCACCCACACCAGATCAATCTTCTGTTGACCAAACTTAATCCATGGTCCAGATTCACATGTGCACTCTTTTGTGTACACCGCAATGCACCGAATCATTCCACTTATATCTAAACTATTCCAATGGCCCAGATTAGTGGTGTAACCTCTTACCATGCACCGTCCTACACCAGATTACTACCCTATTGTTGCGCCCACCTTACAAACGCCGCCTCCAGTGTTGTATATATATATATATATATATTATCTATATAATTTTGCCAAATTAAGATAGAAAATAATTCTTGAATAATTCCAAAAAATATAAAACACATTCTAAAATTAATCTAAAAATTCCAGAAAATTCTCATAAATGCTAGAAACACTAATTAACCCTCTTGGGTCTAGATCCAGCCTATCGATTGATGTAAACAAAATATACAACACATATATAAAACAATAAAAATCTAAAATTCCAAAAATAAAATATAATAATTCATATTTTTAAGATTCCGTTCTAACCATCATTTAATCAATAAATTTAATCTTAAATTTTGATACTCAAGGTGAAATCCTTATGAATTCTAAGAGGAAAGTTAGAGAAGAACTCGCCTGAAGGTTTCGAAACGAAACCGACGCTTTAAGCTTTAATTATCTCTTCCAATTCCGTCGTCCTCCTTTTCGGATCCGACCTCCTCCTTGTCAGCCCTTCTTCTTCCTCTCTCTCTGTCTGTTTTATTTTTCTAACGTGTAAAACCTTTAACCCTAAAGCCTTATGTGTATTTTTATACACCTTAAATTCCAAATCCTATTCCAACTAGTATTATGAATTAAAATAATAATCTTTAAATAATTATATCTATAAACACATATATATATAAATATATATTCCTTCCATAATTAACTCATTAGTTAATTAAATCATATGTACTTATAAATATCAATAAATATATATCTATATATATATCTTTCCATAACAATTATTAATTAATTATATTTATATATAATTATATATATATATATATATATATATATATATATATAATTGATACAAAAGTGATCATTTAAATAATTAAATAACCACGGACCTTCATTAATTAACCCAATAAGGTTTCATACAAGCCCAAGACCACATCTTTTGGTCCAACTTTCCTTAAGCCCAATTCAATTAATTTAAATAAATAAGATAATTAATTAAATACAGAAATTAAAATAACTAATTACATGAAGCACATAAACAAACAAGAATTTACAACTAAGTCATATAATACCAATAAAATCAACACACCAATAATTAAATCAATAATCAACCACACAAACAATCAATCATCATACATAATCACGAAATATAACTTAATTAAAATAAGA